CCGCTGAAACACAATGTTACCTCCAGGTCTATATCTTTTTGGAGTGGCCTTATATAAATTACTGCTGCCCCAACTCCAAGTTCTTTGCTGCACAGTCTCTCCGGAGTATACCCATCCTCTGGACAGGGCATGATGTCCAAGACCTTGGACCTTGTAGAACCTCGGCTCCTTAAGAGCTGAAACCCTCCACGGTGCTTTAGTTGTGGAAAGTTCAAGTGGAGATGATTGGAAAACTCAGATGCATGGCAGTATTTGTCTAAGGGAAAAAAAATAAAGCAGTATCATGACCAACTGAGGTAAAAACCATACACTGGTGGTTAAATATCCATTTCTGTGCTGAGGGATTAAAAATAAAAAAGACCTACCTGGGAAAGTGATTTTTCTTTCCTAAAGCTGCCCTTTCAAGTTCCCTTCTCACTGCTAGACTTGGAACTCGCAGTCCTTTCCTTGGCAAGGCAAAAAAAAACATGTGTGTATGTGGGTTTTTTTAAAGTCTTGGTCACATTGGCTGGTGACGTTGATCTCCGTAGGACACCTTGTGCAGCCGGGTAGGGACTAAAGAGCTTTAAAATCTCTGCTGGAGGACATATGGAAAGAAGAAAAAGATTAATGCTTAGACAGTTAGATCCTTAGTTAGAAGTTAGCTAGTGTAGTACACATCTATATCTGTATGATAATGAGTGATAAAGCTCAGGAAGCACAGTCAATCATATACGTTTGTTACTATAAAGGAGGACACTACTGTAAGGTAGGTACATTTATTTACATGTCATATTTCTATTAGTCTAGCTGTGCACGATTCTGTTTAATAATTTAAGGACACAGTCTATAATAATTTTCCCCGGTATTTATTTAGGTTGGAATTAAACATTTGTTCAAGCCAGCAATGTATGTTTGTGCACTGAGACAAAAACCGCTTCACCTCCGTCAGTCTCCATGACAGCAGTGTGTTGACAACAGTCACTTTTTACTGCATGTTTTATATTTGAGATCGTTTTTATTCCAGCAGAAACGGAGCAAATAGGATGTGGGTAAAAGATACGATCCGTAAGCTAAAATACGGGGAATATCATACATTTTCAAAAGAGCGCTGGTGACGACAACACTGCTTTCTGAAAAGTAGACAGATTTCAAATTGAGCGCGCGGAGCCGCCACACAGAAAGGCGCAAAGATGCTGGATGGGCGCCTTTTCTCTGGGAGGCAGCTGCTGCTGCAAATGCTCTCTCCTCATTGTAACGCTGGCGTTGATAAACAAGCTATGACCTGTGACAGGACAGTAATTTGGCCAAAAATGAAATGTTTCCCATACAGTTTCAAGTCGTTTACAGTTAAATCATGTAAGTGCAACCATTAGCATGTTATTTGACTAGAATTTTATCACAGGACCATTGCTGTGAAAGCTAAAATCTTACCTCGAACCCTAGGTCGGCGATCGGGAGCAGAAGGTGTAGCATTTGGAGAAGTGTGGGCCGTGAGTGGTGGTGACTGTCCTTGCTGCTGTTCTAAAGCGGCAGCTGCCTCCCGCAGAAGTTCTACAACGGACTTTGAGATTCTCCCGCTTATTTCCTTCCAACTCGACTGTACAGGGTCAAACTGACCGTTCTATTCTTGTTCTATGGACTTGGTGGCTAACAGCTTGCACCAGCGTTAAAGATGCACACCGCCACCTATTGTATTGGATGCGTAGTGCGGTCGGCCTGTGAGCTGGAGTCTGACGTCACTTTCCTGCGTCGTCCACTTAGACATTTCGTTTTCGAGTTGGTTTGAATTATGATCACTTTTTAGCACGGCAAGTTTGAAATGGAAAAGCCAAAGACCTTTTCGTTTTCATTTGAATGATGTCATACAATATGCATACATAGAGTAAAAGTATAATGCAAACTGGATGACTGAATATTCATTTTAAATATAGGTCAAATAATGCTCCTATATTCTGAAAATTAAAATGTGTTTCTGTTACTGCATTTTCATTTTCAAATTAGCATTTTCGTTTGAATTATGATACAGATTTAGCGGGGCATTTTTTGAAAATGATAAAACAAATGTCATTTTCTTCATTTTAATTTAGTCAAAGAATGTGTGTTTTTGAAGTTGAAAACTAAAATTCAAATTAGATAAATTAATCATTTTATTTTTGAGTCAAATAATACTCCCATATTCTGAAAATTAAAAAGCATTTCTGTTAATGCATTGAATTTTCAAATTAGCTTTATCATTTGAATTCTGATCACTAATCACTTCAATAATCTGTGTGCTTAGATCACTTTATAAATTGAAAGAATAACCTTTTCTGCTCTTGAGGTGGTTAGGGCTTCATTTCAATGAGCTTTCTTTTACAACTGTGCTGGTGCAACTCCTGCCCGATAGGCAGGAAGGACTACATCAGCAACTTTCTGTTGTGTTGTTTTTAAGCACTGGAACATGCCTGTAATTAGTCTATTCTATAAAGTGCCAAAAGGTGGAGCTGTTGGCTCAGGCCCAGGCGTAGAAAATGTAGGCAGTGGCATTTGTTGAATTGGCTGCTGCCTGTTCATCATGAGCAGGTCTCTTACTTTAGGGCAACGATGAAGCTGGGAGGGAATCATATGTTAAGTTCTGTGTGTGTGTGTGTGTGTGTGTGTGTGTGTGTGTGTGTGTGCGTGTGCACGTGCATGTTTGTGAGAGGGTTAATGTGTCTGCAACTAATGTCACATGCTATTCCATTGAGCTGAATATTTAATGTGCACATTAATGCCTATATGCCAGAAAACCTTTCCACACTTTGAAATACCATTTTATAAACTGTGTTGTACAACATTGTTACTGCAAAGGTGCAAATATCCAAAATATGAGAAGGAAGTGAGTAAGCTCATATTTTTTACTTCTTTCACTGAAATGTCTTTAGCTGTAGTAAATGTGTTTCCATTGGGGCACCCTGGTAGCTTACCTGGTAGAGGGTATGTCCATGCATGTACAGAGGCTTCGTCCTCGCTGCACACGTTGTAATCCAATCCCCTTCCTCACCTCTCACATTTTCTGTCTCGCTTTAGCTTTTTATCAATAAGGACAAAAAAGACATACAAAAAAGATCTGTAGAAAAAGCTTGTGTCTGATCAAGCAGCACAGGAGCAAGCAAGGGCAGGGGACGGGGAGTGGAAATCGTTCATTCATGACGACCCACAGCCCAGACTTACCCTGGAGTGGCTCCCTTTAGTAGTTGTTGGCTCATGTTTTATCCTGACCTTTGACCCCGAGTAAAACCATGAACGCCTTACAGGAATGAGCTCTTCTTTGCTAAAAACAGATGTCCTATATTTTTAGGTCAATTGAACAACCTCAATATTTACTTTCAGGACAAAGATGTCGCACAGGTAAAGAAAGGAATGATTGTCTTGTTCACATTATTGTAATAGTCATTTGTGTTCTGTTTTGTTTATCTGTTAAGGGTGCATTATTTGTTTTTATATAGTGTTTAGCCAAAGAAAGAAGCATTCGTTGGTAAACAGGGACTTTGTGTGTATTGGCTTTCTTCATTTCTTAATCATACCATCATGTGGGGGAAAAAGGCATGAAGGGAAGTGCGTTCTCTCAGTTATTATTTTTAAAATCAAGACAGATAGTAAACGCGGCTTCTCCTACGTCCTCCTGTTAGCTACAGTGTTATGCCCCATACAATGTCATGTTTAAGGACATCTTACTTGTTGTTGTGTTACAGTGCCACCTTGTGATGTTTGCTTGTATTTATCTACCTTACTTTTCCTATCATAGAAACTGAAAGTAAAATAGTAGTCCATGAGCCAGTGAGTTGGCTGCAGCACTTTTGATAGCTCAGTAGTTTCACGTTTCTTCTACTCCTGCATGCTAATGCAACGTCTGTATAAACGTTGATACTATGTGTATTAATTTTAGAAAGGATGTATTTTGTTTCTATATAGATGCTAACTGCTAAGCTAGTGTTAACTTTACCATTCATTTGTTTAAGATGCTATATACTAGTGCTTGTTGCTATACATGTGTAGACATGCACAGTCAACTGCCTTATTGTGTTTATTAATAAGGACCTTTTTGTATTGTTTTCAGTTTCACAAAAAAAAGAAACCTCGGTAAACTTAATGAGACTCAGCAACATTTTGTGGAGTTTTATTGGGGACTGTTTAGCTGGTTGGATAGTTAGCTTCAGCAGCTAGCGAGGCCTACACATGCAGCTACTCGGGCGTATCTGAATTGCCAGTACATACTCAATCTTTCAGTATGCAGTAGGCAGTTTGCAGTACGTACTATCCGTGCTGCATACTGTTAGTACCTACTATTCAGTAGGCGTGGCACAGTAGGCAGATATTTGTGCCTACTTCTTCTGATTCATTCAGTATGAAGTGACGTCATTTATGTTTTTTTTTGTTTTTTTTGTTTAGCTTTATTCAAGAAGAGTAATGCACATATACAGTCAGGTAAACAAAAAACAATATCACAATGTAAATCAAGTAAAAGACAGATTAAATAACTAAATAACATCCAGTACATAAAGGAAAGTACAAAGGAAAGACAGTAATATACAGAATATAAAATAAACCAATAAAGACGCATTTAAATAGTTAAATCATTATTTAAATAGAGGGGGAAAGGTTTTATAATAATGCAGACATTTGTTATATTTTCTGTTGTTAATTTAAAGTAGTGATTTCAGTCGGGACTTTAACTCTAGATTAAAAATTGATTCTATTAATCCACGCTCATTGTTTTGATTTGGAGGTGAAACCCGGAAGTTAGTATCCATACTGAAATGTTCAGTATACTGAGGTGGACCCAAAAAATGTATACTGAATGACCACGAAAGTTCAGTATACTGAAACTCCATACTGAATAGTACGTACTGCATACTGAACTGTGACAATTTGGAAAGGGCCTCGGTTCTAGCCCCCCTCGAAAAAAATTTGTCAGTGTGACGTCTTGTCAGTGTGATATCACTGATCTAAGCCCATTGGCTCGTTGTGGCAAGCCCAGCAGCTCATGTTGCAGGCCTGTTAACTTCTGTAGCACGCCCACGATATGCCGCAGCCTGCGGTAGCATAGTAGTGCTAAGGTGCTAATGCACATTAGCTTGAGCAAAAAACGGACTTGGAAAGAAGTTTCAGCTCCTACTCTCTGTGGCAGCTATGGAGATTCTGATGCTTCTGGAAGATCACAACCACGACATGTAAGTACGCTTCATTAATTGTCTTTTTTATTTGTTTGAAAACAACTTTTGAGCTGCTACGGATATATTAGTTCTGTGGAGGCTGTCTGTAGCTGAACTGTAAGCCTCGGCTAACATGCTAAGTAATGCTATTTTTCAAAATAGGCAGTATTTATTATTATTACTATTTATCAACTTTCAGCTAAAGCGGTAACAGGTATAGCAGTGTTAACCACCCTCAGACATGTAAGTATTGTTTTGGGGCTCCAGATCAGCTTTTTACAGACTCAGAGCATTATTGGACTCTGCAACCGGCTGACATTGTTGTGGTTAGCCTCTCTCTACTCTGCTGTGTCTCCACTTCTGCATAAAACAGTTTTGTTACTTTGCATTTGTTTATTGGTGTGAGAAGCTTGAAAGGTGCTAAAGTTCGGGTTTTGACCATGGTTCGAGACGGTCTAATGAATGTAAAATCCACTTTGTTACAGTATCTGAGCTTTATAAGACTCTGCTAACTTCCCGGCTAACACAGCTGTTGTTATCCTCTTTCTACTCTCTTATCCACCTCTGAGTAAAACTGCTTTGTTACGTGGTGATTTTTTATCGATGTAGTAAGCAGATTACACAGGCAACAAGCTCCAGTATCCTAACGAGTGTACCAAGGTTCCATGATGAGGTTGGGTGGCAGACAGACTCCCCACAAGTCTCAGAGGCCACACAGACATACCTACCTCCAAAGGTCCACACACAGTTGGCCTGGGGACAAGCAAAGGTACGCACACACACCTAAAAAATTGTCCAACTGCTGAAATCTGAGCAATGATATCAGAAAACTGTGATTTCATTACATGATTGCTGATTTTAGCTTTTTGTATTATAGCTTGTTGCTGTCTGTGATGCATAACAACGAACATGCTGAACGTAATAAAGCAACAACCTCTACAGGACAGCTGGTCTATAAGGTGGCATTCTTCAAATCCTCAAAAAAACAGACACAACATACAGTGAGTTACAAATTATTTAATTTTTTAAACCCAAAAGCGCAATCTATTTTTAAACCTTTAAAGTGATAAATACCTATGTGAATATACCTTCAAAGTCTTTGTAAACGTTTCCAAAATAACAGATGAGTGTGAAAAATGAGCAATAACCAAACATTATGAAATAGATTTTTGTTCTTGAATGACTTTTTTACAGGATATGTTGGGGACTTGATGGCACTGGTGTTGGAGGAGATGTTTCAGGAACCAGAACCATTCATGGAGGAGCTGCAGAAAATGCCTGACTCTCAAAAAGGAGGAGGGATGGCTCGACACGTGTCCAGGTGTAGTCAAGGGGCGGGCCGAAACCAACATACTGTCCAGTCGGGTCAGGAAACTCGGGGCGAATCCTCAGGATGACACACAACAGGATAACCACTCTGCAGTGTCCAAAGTATCTGCAGCACCGGCCCACAAAGCTGCGATGAGCTGTCTGCACAGCCTGTATGGAGACAATATAGTTGGATGTAAAAATTTTACTTCTCATTGTATATTTACACGTCAAGAATAAAGAACTTTCAACAAATGATTTTCTCACTTGTTTACTTTTATTCCTCTGAAATAGTGAAACTGTTCGATTAGAATGAATTTGATTGAAGATGTTAATCATTGTTTATAATGAACATACTCTTCTCCGTGATGTTCTCCTCTGAAGATGTTTTGGATGTTTTGAAGTGTATATGGGTTTAAACAGTCCTGGATGTTTTTGGTACAAGGAACAGGCAGCGGATTTATTCTCCTGATGAAAGAAGATACTGATTAAAATGAAATGGTGTTCAATAAGAAGGAAAATAATGACAGAGGAGGAAACATTATTGCCTTGAGATTTTGACCCAACAAACACGTGATTATCACTGGGCTTTTGTAGTCAAAGTAAGTAAGTCTATGATGTCATTGATACTTACAATTGCTCTTTGAATTTTTAATCACATCAAGGAGGTGATATACAATGCAGAACAAGATGAGTCGCTGCAATAAACAACGTACAGTACTAATGTAAATACTATAAAAATGTATTGTACAGAACACATTTGTGGCCAATAATTGTAATCAAGCCAAACTTTGTGAAGCCACAAGTAAGATATATATTTTTGGATTAGGGAAATATGCTGGTAGCTCCAGTCAGTGAAATTGGAAGAGGCTAACGTATTTTTCAACATAATAACAGAGTTTTTCTGATAAAAAGACTTGATACAAACATAAGCTGTGTGTTACTGTTGCTATGTTTTTGTTGGAAGTTATCATGGTATTCTGCAGCACACGGTGTTTGCTTCAGTAAGCATTTAGCTGCAGTTTCCACACTTAACATATACGTAAACAACGCAATGAAGCTATTGCGTTAGCTACCGATTAACATATATTACACACATATTACATCTGAAAAGGCTGCAAAATAAATACCTACAACACTGAAACGTCGTGCTCATGCCTTTGTGGCAAAGGTTGTTGTGTTTGTTCCTTCTCTCTGTCAGATTAGTGAAGTTGAAGTTGCCACTGCCGTTTGCATACCGGTGTTTTTGCTCTGCTCGGAGCCAAAGTGGCTGCATTCCCAATATGGTAAAAGGGGCGTGACATTTCCGAGGACCGTGCTGAGCGACTGACCAATCACGACAGAGCCGACAGGCCGACCAATCAGATCAGACTTGGCACACGTGGGGACTCTGAACGTGGGCACTTCAGAGCCTTAGAAGTGTTGGGGTTGTATCAAGTCAACTTTGGTTATATTCTTTAATAATTATACTTAATTATTAATAATATAAATAAAATATCATTAAACTATGTTTAATCTCGTTTTGGGGCACCAACCTGTAATCAGGTAAATATAACCAAAATATCACTCAAATCAGTCTCAAATTAGTTATTTAATTACTAATATTATTAATAATGAATAACTATATTTAATAAATTGAAGGCGTGAAATCCGTACACAAAGCCTTCGCACCCAGCTTATATCACAATGCAAATACACCAGTAATCACAAACAACTGCTCTCTTAAATTATAACAGAATTTATTTAAACAAAGCAACATCAATCCAAAATCAATGAATTTAATTAAACAAATAACTATTATAAACTAATCTAAGCAACAAACATTATCAAGCAAAGGCTTGTGGATGAGGTGTGAATGTAGGTGTGTGTGTGTGTGTGTGTGTGTGTGTGTGTGTGAGAGAGAGAGAGAGAGAGAGAGAGAGAGAGAGAAGAAGAAAGGGGGAGATGGCTTCGTACCCTCGTGGTCGTTCACGATGGCGCAAACCTAACAAAGACCTGGGTGTGTGCACGTGTGGATGAAAGGGAGAGAGAAGGGGGGGAAGATTACTTCGTCCCACGTGGTCGCCCTTCCGATGGCACACACCTAACAAAGGCCTAAATGTGGCCTTAAGCTCTAAAGAGACTGAGTTCGGCCCTACACAATCTGTGTCTCTGAGGCGTCTGGATAGCCGCGAGTGTATAGATCTCTGTGCGTAATGGCGCGGTGGTGGAGTTGGTCTCCAGATGTACGTTTACACAGGAATATGTGTGTATGTGTGTGCGTAGAAGGGGAAATAAAAGCGAATAAAAGAGAAATGCGTGCCTGAAGAGGCCGGATCACAGTCCGACTCCCGCGCCACAACTCGGAGTAATTCCCTTCATTCACAGAAACAAACCAATAGCCGAATTCAGGTTAATACAGTTACACTGGCCTTTCTGATCAGAAGAGTAATACCCGGTTATAACGCTGTTACGCTAAACACATATAGGACGCAGCGGTCCGAAACAACAAGAGTTTTAAACAGTTAAAACTCAGGACGCAGGTCCAACAAAGATAAAAATTACAGTTTCTGCTTTGATCAACAATTGTTAAAAACACTCTCTAAAGCTAATTCTGCCCAGACCTAATTAAGCCTCACTTGTGAATCGCTTTGTCCGCGATTGGTGAAAGGAAAAGAGTCCGGCGATGGAGCAGATCTTCTGTCCGTCCTGGTGCAGAGGCGTCTGATGGCGGCGAGGGTCCCTTACGGCGAGAGCGGCTTCGTTGGTTCTCCGTCGAGTGGAAAGATGTCCTTTGATGTCCTTTCGTTGCAGGACGGAATAAGACCGTTATCTTTCTGATAATCTGTTATAGTCTGACGCTCTCCGAGAAACTGAGATGCGTTCACTGGACAATCCGAGCTCGGAATTTAGAACACTGCCGGCCGCGGATTACCTGCGCGCCAAAACTTAAAACAAAGGAAGATTGTTGCAGGAACAGGAGATCTTCTTGGGTCTCCGAGCACCGAAGGTCAGCGCGTGAAAGAGAGCGAGCAATGGAAGTCTTGGAGTTTTGTAGCCTGGCCTGCTCCATGGGGGTCTACCTCAGGTCCCCTCCAATGAGGAGAGAGAGGTTCCGGTCCCCCCTTTACTTCACACGTAGGTGTGAAGTACCGCAGGGGATTCTGGGATTAAGAGTCCTTTTAGGCCTCTTTGTGATCTCAGTGAATAACTCAAATGAGGCTTTTACAGAGGTGCAGGCCCAAGTCCATTGTATGACTGTCTAAGCCTGCGTGGCCCAACATCCCCCCTTTGTCCTGAAGAATGGGATTGCGGGTCGCGGTCTTTA